CTGCAAGTGTCGCCTTCGCCATCGCAAACTCAGGGAACATCGCGCGTCCGCAACCGCTGGGAGCAGACCTGCACCTCCCACCACCGTCGCTCGAAATTGCCGACCCTTCTCCAACCGATCTATCGCCGGAGTTCCTGTCCAGTGGAGGCCCGCGACGCTGCTCACCAAGTTCACCGTCCTCCGACGGCCTCTAAATCGACCTTCATCGACTACATCGTCTCCATCGGAGTGGCCTCAGAAATCTAGATCGGCCGTCGCGACCGACTCTGCGGAACCTCCTCCCCGTCAAAATTGAAAGCAAAATCAGCCTCTCCTTCTTGTTCTGGCATCCCGACGACTGGAATTGTACAACATCCGGCGGGTTCTGTAGGCCCATGCTGATCGGTTGTTGATTTCTGAAAAGTTGCAGGCATACAATTTTGGGGTGAATTATTTGAGAATTAGATAGGTTTAAGGGATTTAATTGCAATTTTACAAATTTTAATTATATTACAATTGAGTTCATGGGTCAAATTGTAATTTATAAAAATATTATTTTTACGTATATTTTTATACAAATATAGTATGTATTTAACCAAAAAAATACCACAAAAATTTAAAATTTAACATATTAGAATATTGAATATAATTTTATAATATCTATAATAAATTAGTTTGATAATTTAAATTACACATTATAATATATATACATAACAAATATATTATATCATCTAAAAATAATATAAATATTAAATACAATTTTTATAAAGAAATAGTTGCACCCCGAGTGCACATTAATGTTATAAACATTGCACATTAGCAATCATCATATTGCACTATACGGCCGAAACAGTCATGCACAGTCTTATGTTCGAATTTTATATTTTGGATCGATTATTTATTTTTGCTTTTAAAATTTTAGTTTCTTCGTTGTTTAAATAGCTGAAACTACCAAACAATATAAAAAAAATATTTTTGTAGTGTATATCTACCTTCCTATTTAATAAGAAAATATCTAACCTGTTGAAAAAACGACACGTGGCAATGTCATTTGCTTTGTTTTTGCTTCTTTTCTTGCGCTGCGTGTTGGGGAAATGAGTTGAGGTCATTTTTGTAATTTTATTCTTTTCTTCCTTTCCTTTATGCTTTCTTCAGTTTCTTTCTTTCCCCATTCTTTTTCTTGTTCGCGAAATTTCCCTCAACGTTTTTTCCCCCTTTATTGTTTCGATTTGTAGGCCATCTCTTCTTATAAATTGAATAATTTTTTTTTTTTTTTTGTGTTCTTCG